TAGCAAGACTCTTACAAGAAGGATTAATTGAAAATTATAAAACCTCAGTGAGACAATACCATGACAAGATAGGCAAGTTATTATTAGAATTAAAAGATATTAAAGATAGAGTATCAATATCGGACCTTACTCAACAGAAACCTGGTTTAATAAATGCGGATGGATACATTTTAAAATGTTTTATTCAGAATTGTGACCACCGACAACTTATGTGAATTAAATGAAAAGGCAGAGCGACAGAAACAGGTATCTAAGGAAATGATTCATTTAATAGGAGAGCAAGCAACTGTAATGAATTCATTAAACCAGATAACTGAATTTCACGACCAAGAGATTAGGAAAATATTTAGAGCTTTAGTGAACATTAGTAATGCATTGATATACACCAGAATCAGACAAACTGAACTACACAAAGCAGGAATTGAAATGTTAGTTTTTAACACCAGGATTCAGAATAATTTAGAATAACTATTTTTTACTGTAGGAAGTAGCAAGACAGAGTTAGCCAAGTTAGTACAAGCATTGTATGTAGCTGCAGGTAGAAAGATGAGTTCGTACTTTCTACCCCTGAGTAAGTTAGAAAGAGTATTAGATGAAATTGAAAGGAAATTAACTCCACATTTACAGTTTGCAATCCCTACTCATAGTGATCAGATTTACATGTATTATAGATGGGCTGATATAAAGACAGCTGTTATCAGGGATACTTTAAGGATGTTTATAGAGATACCCTTGACAGCAACAGATATGATGTTTAAATTGCACAAAATTGTACCCTTACTATTAACTTTAAACCACTCTTTGGCTTTAACTGTAGAAAATGAAAAATCATACATTGCTGTTTCAAGTGATAAGCATACTTATCTAAAAATGACAGAAGTAGATATGTTGAGATGTATAGAGGGACCTATTCAAGTATGTGACCCTGATTCAGGAATTTATTTAGTACCCATTGTAACTATATAATATTTGTAGGAATTAAAAATAAAATAGCTGAATTATGTGAGAAAATAATAATTCTTCATAAACCATTCTATTTTTATAAGACAAGGACTCCAGAAACTTGGTTATTTAATATAAGGGATGAATTTACCTTATCAGTAGTATGCCCCAAATCAAATGTACATCAATTTGATTATCAAAGTAGAGTAGTTAAATTAAGAAATAGTGGATACCTGAGATTAGCCAGGAATTATGGGTCGGCAAGGATTGTTTGGTTTGTGTACTTTTGGTAAGAGATAAAATCTACCAGGAAAATCTTGTCTAGGTATCAAATACTGAAAGGTTTCTTTGTTAATCTTATTGTTTTGAAGAAATTCTTTAAATTTGCCAGTTATGGTCTTAATAAACTGAGTTGTAGGATCATGTGAGAGTTTCTTGTAGAATTAGTGTCCTCTAGTTGACGGTTAGCTTCTGTGATACAGTCATCTTTGTTAAGAATAACAGTAGCTTCACCCTTGTCTGCTGGCTTTATTATAATATTGTGTTTGATTTAAGATTGTTTAAAGCATTTATTTTATTTTGGTTAATATTATTATGACATTACTTGGAATATTTTAATGTTTGTATTACATCATTTTCTACTGCTTTAATATAACTCTCTAAATGTGGTTCTCTATTGGGTGATGTTCATGAAGAGTTTTCTTTGAAGTTTGGTGTATGTTAGTTTTCAGTAGGGTGAAATTTGTTGTGAAAAAATTTGTCAAGTCTTAGTATTCTAGAGAATTCATGCAGGTAAGAAAGAAACTTCACTCTACTCAAAATCGAGAAATGTTAACACATGGATCTGTGATAAAGAAATTCCGTATGTCCAGAAAATGTTGTAAGCAAGTCCTCCCCCCACAAACCCCAAGCATAGGGTAGTCACTGCCGCCGCTGGTAACAGTCCAACTGAGTGGAGGAGCCTCTATGATAAAGATGGAATCTATTCTTGGCACTAATGGTACAAGGGGCTGATGTGGGAGGCTGGAACACTCAAACAGAGGTAGAGCCATGACTCCCTGTAGGAGCTGAAGAAATTTGAGAGGCCAACAGCGATAAAGAGGAATGCAAATGGGTGGCATGAATCCAGAATTCCAATGCCACAGGCATGCCCACAAACATCAAGGGACAAAAAAAGACGGCCTCGTGTAAGTTACGGAGGGTGGCAGCCAGCAGACAAATGTCCTCCAACAAGGCATCCATACCCAATAAATCCCAACAACATACCAGCCAAGAAACTAAAGAAAGAGCAGAAGCGGACAATCGTACCAAGGTAGATGTCAATAAAGGACCCAACTCATCAACAAATTGATGTGGTGATCAGTGAGAGGCTTCCGACAGAATTTGAAAGGATGATAAATACCTCAGGACTGTAGTGAGGGTCAGACTTATCTGGTAAAATTGTGATCTGTTAAAATTGATCACAGGCTCTATTCTAGAACCCCACATTTCCAAAAGTGGATCTAGTCTTTGGGAATCTAAATATGAATCCCCTGGTAGTGGTAAGCCAAAGCATGTTGTTCCGACAAATGTGGTAGACAAGCAATCCCTTCATGTAAGTGAGCAATAAACCTCCCTGCATGAACAGCAACATCAGGTGATTGAGGAAGAACTAAGGATTTGCCCTCAGACTATTCCGCCAATAAGAAAGTTATAGTCTCAAAGGCCAAATTTGCCTCATGAGAAGCCAACCTAGTAAAGAAAGGTGTCCGAAAAAGCGAGTCTAAATTCCCTCCAGAATGTCAACAAACATCAAAAAAGCAGCCTTAGAACCCCCCTGGAGAAACACCCCTAGATCTAATATATATCTCCATATCACTATGAATCAGATCACAGACAGTTTCAACTGAAAGCGACCCCCCCCCCCCCAACGACTGTTGAGCAATGCTTGATATCAGACGTGGGATAGGAGAGTGCTGATTAGCCTCCATGCCATAATTGCTGTGTCATAACAAAAAAGTTTTATTTTTTATTATATATTTACTTAATTTCACAAAAGAAACTAGGCAATGCAAAAATCACAACAAATATCTCTAACAGTAGCAGCACATAGAAACTCATTATTGAACACTTTGTGGAGAAAAAATTATAACATTATCTGAATGAGGTGCTTATATACAGTACCAAAATAGAGGGCACATTGTCATGTGGAGAGGATCACAAGTTAAATACTGTCAAGGGCAATTTTATAAAAGACTGGATCAAGGGAGAAAAAATCAAACCAATGCTTAATGGGCAAAGGAAGAAACCCTGTCAGTCAAGCAATAGCTATAAGTGGGAGAGGAGGTAAGTATGTTTGGAATTACAGTAAATATGGCTATGTGTAGCTTCATATAAACAGGGTTTAATGCAAAGCACCAAGGCTATTCACAGAAGGTTTATTACACATCATGTATTTTATTTTAACATTGTTTATTTAATATTTCTTATTATTATCATATTTGAATAAACTTTACTATCATTCACAAGAAGAGATAAACCCGTAAGCTAGTCTTCTTGTTAGAAAGAGATAGTTCTGATGAAGATGATGACTCAAAATTAGGAATGTAAAAATAGGTACTGGAAACAGGCTTTTTACAGGTACTTGCTAATAACATCAAAACACAAACAAGCACAAAACTGTCAAGCTCTATCTGAAGAAAATAAGGTGAGTGTAACTAAACAAGAAAATACATGAAAAAGGTTATCATTTAGTGAAAAACTCAGATGGCACAATTAATAAATGTATCATAAACTAAACAAACATTAATTGACAAATATGATGATATGAAGGGTGTTCAAGTAGCTTAAATGCAAAGGAACACACAATGAATTGAAAAATGGACTAATGATGATACAGCCATTAAGAAATAAATATGAATACAAGTAACTCACAAAAACATTTAATTCACTTAGAAATGAAAAATATATGAAATATCAAATTACAAAGAAATTCCAGATTAAAGGTGTTGAAATCTAAATGTCCCTAATACAAAACCTTAAATTTTAGGCCTTGTGGTCTTTGGTGTAGGTGAAAGCTTCTTAAATCCCACAGTGTTCAAAAGGTTTTATTTAATAGTGATGATCAATGTCTGCATAAATTACCTTCACTCTGGAACTAACTTAAACAAAACAAAAGTGGGAGGACCAGTATAGCTTTAAACTAAACTTGTCATATAGTTATGGTCTTTTCTGACTTCTGTGAATTTACATAAAATGAGTCAGAGGAACAGTCAGATAAGCTTTTTCTGACTGGTCCACATAATCACACTGTTAAGACCTTTTTCATCACCAGAAAGCTTTTGTCAATTAGGTTATGCATGCAACATATTATCAAACCAATGATGAACTTTTGACACAAGTTACCTAAAGGTAATGTTAAAATCTTTACATACTTACATAAGCTGATATAATAAAATAAAATGCTTACTTACTTCCAAATGCCTAAAGTGATCTCACATTAGGCATTTCTTATATTAATCCACTTCACTGGCATTAATTCCCAAAATTAATTAATCAGCTTGCTCCATGACAAATTTGCTACCAGTTAACAATGAAAATGGCACAAGATAAAATTAAGACTTTTACAAAAAAATCCACTGAACATGTATTTGTAATGAGGAAAAAAATACTGAAGATCTTTCATGAAATGCGCATTTAATTTTTGTTACCTCATGCTAGTTTTATTGTTTATATTTTTCTGAGATCCATATCAACTGTATTCTTTAACTTGAAATTATTGAAACAAAAATATAGCAACTATATTTTACTTTTTTGGTGCCATTTAAAATTACTCTTATGTCATGTAATGAAAAAATTTAAATACTAGAGCTACTCAGTCATAGAACCATATCTGCTCTTTGCATTCACAACATTGACATTGCAGTGACCAAAACTTTTCTTTTCTGAATTCATCATATAATGAATGTTGATGAAAGTTTTCTTTAAAAAAAAGCTAGAGAAAAATAAATCTTGCTCTGAAGTTTTTCATGCTATTTGACAATATTATGAAAAGATACGGAAATATATGCTTAACTCACCTCTGAGTTTTTTACCAATTCTTTGTAGGCTTCAAAACATTTCTCATATTTCTCTAAACGGTATAGCTTTATAAAATAAAAAATACATCATCATCAACTTAATTTAAACAGTGTTTAATAGCTAGTCATAATAACATTTTGTATAACCAAAATGAGTCATATAACATTTAAAGAAACTTTGTTGAGCCCTTCAACAACTGAAATATGAAAGAATACTGACAGATGAAAATCACGTTTACATTACTCTAGTTTCTGATTATTGTTTCATATAAGTTTCCTCCAAAGTGAGAAAAAGTTTTAGCCATTAGTGTTTCTAATTTTACTCACTTGATCAAATGTCTTTATTCTACTAATATTAATAAAATTTTCAAATTCAAATTTTTATTGGTACTTCCCACTTTTTATATGGGTTTGAATGGTGGTAGATTTAATTATAAAGTAACTTTATTCTGAGACAATAACTCCCTTCTTCACACAGAAATGCTATAATTCCATGCTGAAATGGTGAAGGGGCTGGTGCAAAATGTTAACTAGATGAACTCCCTTCTGAAGCACCTGAAAGCAAGCCTATGGAGTGTGACACCCAATGGCAGGGGCACACCTGTGGGAGATCACATCTCGTCTCAACCAGGGTATACTCTTCACATGGAATGTAAGGGGGAAGAGGCAAATGAGTCTCATGTGTCACCAGGATGAGCAGAATAAGAACACGACCGTAAGAGCATTTACACATGTGGTCAGCAAGCCCAAGTGTATAGTGTGGTTGGGGCATGTTAAAACCGTACCCTAAATGCAAAAGGATGGCACATTAGTTAGGCAGTTTTGTTTCATATAATGTGTATATGAACTATACAGACTGAGGCTGCAGGAGGAGGGCACATGATTTTGTGCTGTCTTTGCTCACCTCTTCTAAACTGAAAAGGCTCTGCCTGCAGGAAGAGGGCACAAATGATACAAGTTCTGGTTTTGAGAAATGACCTGCACTACATGGGCAGAGTCACCTACCTATTTCTCACTGTATTGTACTATGTCAAACTGGAGAAGATTCTCCATGATCTACCATCTCAGCAGCTGGGAACTGATAAGGAGAGAAAGGAAAATTTGTGTTGAAGAGTCCTGGAGAAGTGCCCAGATCCTCCAGTTGCAGGTCTTTTACTGGAAACAATGCAACAGGTGATCACATATAGACATACACACATCACAAGGATACATCAACTGGTTTTGTGGAACACCCCATGTCAACAGTAGGCACTAGTAGAGCCAGAATGGATGGTATGAGCACTTTCCATTATCTTGGCTTGATGCTGATTTTTGGAGGTAAGACTCTGAAAGCGAGATTATACAAATGTTTCTCAAAAATGACAGATTGATTGGGGAATGGTGAACAGTGGAAGCTGAAATCTGGCAGGAGATGAAACATCCAGATGGTGGAGATAATAAGAGACAAACACAAGGAGAAATATCCACATGCCCACCTGGATGGTCTCACCTGAAGGCCGGAGAAAACGAGAAGAGAGAGAGTGAGAAAGGTGATGAATTGAATGTGAAGATATGTGAAATAACCTGTGAGCATCCACATCCAAACATGAATATACTAATTGGTGGAGTTGAAGAACCCATTCAGGAAAGGTAGAAGGACAGAGGTCCCTGGAAGAAGAGGGTCCCAGGGTAGAGACAGATGATGGCAGTGACCCTGAAAGGAAGAAGTCTAGATAAGCAAACCAAACTGCTCAAGCAGGACACAGGAACCATTTCAGGTCTGAACAATCAATTAAGTGAGAGATAGAAGGAAAGCAGATAGAGAAAACATGGTTACTCTCCTGAGTGGTAGAAGTCTTAGGAAGGAACGATTAGTCAAGGGAGAGGAGTATGTAAGTGCAGTGGAAGAGGGTGCAATAACCATCCAAAGTATAGACATATGAACAATAGTAACTGCAAATGAGAAGGAGGAAATAAGTCTGGAGAAAAAAAAGTACAAAAAGGAAAAGGTCAACAGCTTGAACAGGGCACATGTGAGAGTGTGTAAAACTACAATAAGGTTCCAGTCAGGCATGGGAATCAGATGAAGAAACAAAGGAGTAGAACAGAGTGGAAAGGACAGGAGATAAATATCCTGTGATACCAGGAAAGGTGAAATGCCATGAACAAGGTTGCCTGATAACCAGCAAAGACAGAGACCAACAAACCATAGCCAGATAAAAAGGCAGAAAAATGGTTCACAGTATGATGGCCAGAAACAAAGAAGTATCAAATGGACCAATGATGAAAGACTTGCCACTTTGTTTGACAGACAAACACAGCGGAAGGACAAGAAGAATGGGCAATGGATCAGATAAATCCAACAATGAAGATAGTGGGAGGATATCCCTTGATGAAAAAAAAACGTATAAGGTTGAAACAAGAGAGAAGGGATATTAAGTAGAGGAAGGAGGGTCTGGAAGTTAAGCAAAGAAGCAGAGAAAACCAAGGCTGAACTCACTAAACAGGTGCTAACAATAGGATCTGACAAGGAGTGTCACTTATCAAAGCAAGGACTCAAGAGGAGGTGAAGAGGTGGATAGGCATAGAAAATGAGGTGAGACTAGGCTTTGCTGAAAGCATCAACAGTCAGAAATGAAAAACAAGGAATAAGGAACCAGAAGATAGGAAGCCCAGAATTGGAGAGAATGGCAAAGGCACTTATAAGAGGCATGCCCAACCCAGAGCAAACCCAACAAAGACTTGGAGTTGTAGAGACCACTTTTAGTAGAATGCAGACTAACCAAGAGAGGCAGTCTGCCACCTGGTTTTTAGCTACTGATAAATGACATGCAACAAAATAAACCCAATGTTAATGGGCCCAAAAGAGTACACCCAACACCTGAAGGCAAAAGTCTTGAAATGGATGCCTCCTAGACCTTTGGTCTAAATAACAACCATGGAAGTGATAGATTGGATCATGAATGGAAATATGCCCAATGAACAGCTAGAAGTTTTAGTATGTTGATATGGAGGGGATGCTCACCTGCATTCAAATGTCAAAAGTCATGTTCTTATCCAGAGATGTGTATCAATCAGAGGGAAACATCAGTGAAGAGACAGATCCAGTTTGGGAGTTGTTAAAGAAATGCTGGAAGTAGTATGGGTAAGATGCAGTCACCATGAGGATTCCTCCAGAGAATAAAAGTTCACAAACTAGGACAACGGAACCAAAGAAAGAAACCCTTGGATTCATAAGGCTCACTGAAGGAGGTGCATGTGTGCATGCCCCAAAGGAATAAGAGGTTTCAGAGAAACCATAGACCCCAAAAGTGAAAGATCCTCTCACAGAGGATGAGAATGTGAAGCACAAATCCTGGTGACCAGATACACCAGAGCTTCCAAATGAAATGGAGAAGGGTGAAATTGGCTGAGACAAGAAATGAAGAAAATGCCCAGAAGTACCAAAGATTGAGTGGTTATGACAAAGCACTTAGAAATCATGAAAAGCGAATATCATCCTAGAATGGGTCAAGAAGTCAATTTTTCATGAAAAGGGGTGCCATAAATACTTACAAATGAAATCACGAGACAACTGAATATAAAAGGGGGTGACGATATGTAGATCAGAAAAGGAAGCAATGAGAAGATGTGAGATTGGTGGATGGAACATAGAAAACATATGGAGGATGATTCAAGAGGGATGTGTAGAAAGATGTCCAGCACAGTGACCATGGTCAACTGCAGACCAGATGAGAAAAACCATAGGAGGGGTAAGAGGAAGGAGAAAAGGAAATGGGAAGGCAATCAAGAAGAGAAGTGAGGAGAAAGGCCAAGTTGGAGAAATTAAAATTGAATGTTGGCAGAAAATGAGACCAACAGCAGATGAAGAGGAAAACTTGATACCAACAGTATCGGACCTGATATAATAGTCACCGACAAGAAGAGCAATGAGCTAAATGTCTGGTATAGGGAAAACAAGAAAAAACGATGGCCTGGAACTTAGAATGGGAATGCTAGGGGAAGACAGATCCAGATGAGGAACAGGAGTAAAAGTCAAGGTTAAGAAAGAAGAAAAACCTGTTAGGATAAAGAGGAATGAAGTTGTATAATGCCATTCCAGGTCTCCAAAGAGAAATGAACATCACCAAAGACATCTGTGTGAAGAAAGAGAACCAGATGAAGACAATATATAGGAGGAGGAGGAAGAAATACAGTATAGAGAAATGTAACCCAACCATATGAGAATGAACAGGAGGAACAGAACAGACAAAGTGGAACAGGCTAACCTAGCAAAGAGAAGGAAAAAACTTTCACAGAAAATCCCTCTGGAACACAAAGAAGTTCTTCAAGCAGAAGGTGGAGATAGGTGAGTAAATACAGGAGGGTAGTGAGAAAAAGGCAAAAATACTTAAATGGGGAAAAGAGAAAAAGAAAACAAGGGGCCTGATCCCCAAGTAGGTACCAAGGACAGGGAATCAAGAAATGAATCAAAGAATGCCTACAAGTCAGGACAAAAAAGTCATGAACATGAAAGGGACAAGGCATTTGGGTGTGAGAAAGGAACTATTAGAAGAAAGAAAACAGTATAAACCCTTATAACAAGCAATAAGGAAAGATAAGGTAAACTCCAAGAATTAGGATCATGGAGTAAAAATAAAACAACAAATATCAAAGGACATAGGCAAAAGACAAGGAAAGGAACATACATGAGAATGAAAACCAGAATGAGATTGGGAGGTTAAAGTCATTCCACTATCAAAAGCAAATCAGTTTATATTCATAGTCCAGTAGATCAAAATCCTGACTGAGGAGAAAGAACTTGGCTGACAGGATGTGAGTAGGAGGCCCATAAGCAATTGCACAACATGTTGATCAAAGGCTGCAATGTCTCCGAGAGTTAATGAACCTCCAGAAACCACAGTACAGATAAGGCCTGTGTGTGTAATATAATTACTCACACAGACCTAAGTATAAGTCAGTATCATTTGATAATTTATTAAAAAAGAATTAAACCTTTTGAAACAAAAGTTAAAGAAAATGAACATTAAAGTTTCATTATCAAATGCAAATCTTGTCAAACTGAGCTCAAACAAAACATTTTGAATAGACTTTTTAATGCAATGCTGAGGAGAACTGAACAGAACAAACAAAATGAAAATAAACAATAAAAAATTTGGGAAGATTTTGAGTATTTTTTGTTTTTACTTTTGGTTCGAGGCTACAATTCTTCCTGGTTAGTACATCTAGAAATATTTGTTACATAATTTTGAATCTTAGGATTGTTCTATGCTTGTTAGCAAGTACTCACCACTTGTGCTGTAAGTTCTTTAATTTTAAAACTGGCATCTTTTTCATCCTTCAGCAGTGCCCAAGCTTCTTTAATCTTGTTGAGTCGATATAAACAATAGGCCTTTTCGAAGTTTAGAGACCTGGAAGCAAATATATATATATAGCTGTTTAAATCATAACTGTCAAATATGTATTAAAAGATGAAAAAAAATCAAATTCCATATATGCACAATTATTAAATTTTTTATTCAAAATTTATAGTTGTATCCATGGTTGTATCAGTACGTATTATTTTCAGTTAATGAATATAAAAAAAAATCTTGTGTTGTTCAATAAATATTGTACAGGCCTTCAAACTGTAATTTTTTGTTCCGTGAATGTTGAATAACAAGCTAATTTTGGTGGTAAATTTACAACATGAACACTATAAAATCATTTTTGCATGTGATGATGTTGCATGTGCATTATATAGTAAATGACATCATCATGCAGAAAGAAAAATTTAAAATCTGTTGTATGCAAGATAAATTGAACAACAACTCTTACAAGCTTTCATTGAAACATTTAGCAAAAATGTCCCAACGAATCACATTCAAATATATAAATTGGGTTTTCCCTTATTTACTTCAAGAAAATGCAGGGGTTTAATATTTTTTTCTTTTTATTTTATGTATCCAATTTCAATTTCATCCGAGCACAGATGACAGTAGAAGTCAAAAATCAAGTTTAAGCTTACAATGTATATACGTACTGTATGTCTAATACAGATGGCCAATTTGATTAATTACCTAAAGCATCAATTACCTTGATTAATGTCATAAAAATTATCAATTAATCAAAATTATTACTGTTTTCAATTATTCGAACAATCTATTACTCACAATTACAATTAATTCAAATATTGCAAAAATAATCAACTTGTCAAAATTTGTGTTTCCAATTATTTATCATTTTGATCATTACAACTACTTAAGTATTCAAACTATTTATTCCCTTATGTTTACTTGTTGTTAATCACAAAACTACATAATGATGAGTGGGTGTCTTGTGATTTGAGTGTTTTAATTTAAATTCCCATTGCCAGTAAACTTGTTCACCCTCTCTTTATTATTGCAAAGCTAGTAAGGCTATATGCCACTGACATTAACTTTTAACTGCTGCCTAGAGGGAAGGCAACATGCTGATAGCACCCACTGCCAACTTTGTAGCTACCAAAACATTAAATAAAGTGTAAATTGACTGTGTTGTTGTTTTTATTTTACACTGTGTTATGTTTCTAACTTATAATTCTGGAACCGTATACTTTAATGTTGTTTAAGCAGATGTAGATCTATGGGAGGAGTCCAGACCCTCCATTCATGTTTTTCCAGAAGCCAATAACTGTATTCTTTACCATTATATAAGCAGGTATGGATGTAGAGGAGGGCTCTAGACCAACTCCGCTTTCTTACATGAATTAATAACTGTAATTTTTAATGTTGCAAAAGGAAGCACACATACAGAGATAGGGTCCAGGAAGCCATATCCCTTTTGCCCATTTTTTCAGAAATTAATAACTATTACATAATGTTGTATATGCACTGCAGATCTAGGAAAGGAGTTTAGGGGTTCAGACCCCTTTCATTTTTTCCAGGAATTAATTAGTCTTCAATGTTGTTTAAGAAGGCATGGATGAAGGTGAAGGGTCCAGAGGATTGAACCATTTTCAGAAAGTAATAACTGTATTATTTATTGTTGTATATGTAGGCACAGATCTATTGATCCAAATCTCCTTAACAATTCTTTTTTCAGAAATTAATACAAAAAACAGCCAGATGTCGTTACACCACTATATATCAAAAAGAAAAATCATATGTCAGTGTTTTTAGTTGCCTTGACTATTAATTACCATAAATGCTGGAATCAACATAAGCAGAGTCTACATCAAGCCAGTTTATGACTCAATCTGTTACTGATTAATTTAAAGCTAATACAAGAATATGAATGTCAATTAAACATTTCCATGGTAAATTTACATGCCTTGCAGACACTCTATAATGTGTCTTTACTTTAGATTTGCTTCCTTCATAGTTAGTATTGTTTAGGATGCCTGCTGCACTTATAACAAACTTGTTACAGAATCAATTTTTCATTATTTAGAAGTTCAAATGCTCTTGAGAAAGATGTTTTTCATATTTTTGTGTTTAAAATAAGTGAAAATGCAAGTGGTATCACTGTATAAATAATAACTTTTAGAAATTTTGAAAACAGGTATGATGTTTACCAATACTATAATTGTTTTTCCAAGTTACAAATAATTATGATTATTTAATTCTGGTTAAAAAAATGTTTCTTTACAACTGTCTTACACATCAGTCATTTTACTAGAAATAAAGATATAAGCTTTGAAACTGCTGGATTATAACCCAACTCAGCTAATAATTTAAAGAATATATTAACATTATATTAACTTTGACTTATTTAGGTTAATTAAGGATTATATGGTTGACACTGACTAATGCAAAATACTATGTTAATATGGTGGAATATCTTCTTTCTTGTAAAAAAACACCATAAATTTGGTTATAGTGTTACTCAAAAACTGCCTTTTAAAAAGTTAATTGGTATAGTTCCATCACTGTAAAAATGAAACATTACTGCAGCTAGTGTAGAGAAGTTAAAACATTGTTACTTGTTAATGCAATAATGTTATATTATTTGAATAGACCTTCTAGTTTTATTCTTATTCATTACCAGAGATGTCACTAGGCACTGGCAAACGAGGCCTGTGACCCGATTCTATTTGACAGTACTCCAAATCCTTGGTTGGTGTCTTGAAAAATCAGAACAGAAAACCATGATAGATATCATACTGAAATGCAGAAAATTTACCCTCCTATGGACCCAAGCCCCGAGTCTTTTAAGTACCTAGTAACATCTCTGTTCATTCCCTGATGATTTTCAAACTTTGTAAAATATTCTACATTATTGTGCCCGACATGTGAAGACAGGGTTTATTCTAGATTTTCATATATTTTGGCCAGTTGATAAAATTGTTTAACAGAAATTTTAAAAAATCATTGTTATACATAGATTTTAACAACATTTCAACAATTTCAACTCATACATAATTTAGAATCAATATTGTTTATTTTCCAACATTTATTTAATATAATTCATGAAGAAAAAAAGTTCATATTTTCATTTCTGCAAAACTTCTAAGAGAGCAACCCAGTTCTCAATCTCTTTTAAAAATTTTCTACTCATACCAAAGAATAACTATTTTCCCCAGAAACCTATAATCTCTTAAGAATATATTATTTACTTTTTTGATTTTTAAGCAATTTCCTTTGTTTTTGGACAGGAATTAGTTGAAAGTTTGTGATTTGATCACTTACTAATGAAAATGTTGAAAACAGCTAGATAGAAAGTTTAAATATGACTGGATAGAGGAAGAATTAAAGTAAATATAAGGGTTAAGAGTTCTGTATAGTTTCTTTCATTTCCTTTTCATTTGTGAATTGTGAAAATATGAGTATTAAATTATATCCATTTAAAATCCACAGAAATTTTCTTCAATGATATGTATGTATGTAAGATTATACAGTTTATAGATGGGTTGAATTGGTAACAAAGAAAATGTTATTACAAGTTTAACAGATGTAACATATTTGGAGACAGCCATGTCATCATCAGGTATATACATACATATATATTTACAGCAATGAGTATGAAACAAAGAAGTTACATGAATGGAGATTACCTGAAGCTTAATAAAGGTATATCTTGGTGATATTTGGTTCTTTGTTTAAAATTATGGCATCTTACGTTTTAATATATATATACTACAATTTTATTGAGCTGCAATGTCTGTAAACATGAGTTATTTTTATTATGTTCCTCAAAATTAATACTTTCCAATACTGAAAATGTATTTCTGATATATATTTTACCTTCTCTCACATAATAGCTTTCCTCAATTTACGGTGCCCTCTATATATGCACAATTTTCACTCTCCACTAGTATTGAGACTTTCACCTAACACGTGGTACAGCTGCACTGTAGCATGCAACAACTTTCCACCAACCGAAGTGTGACACACCCTTCTAGTTCAGCTGACTCCCTCTATATTGTACAGCACAATTATAACTTCTTGATTTGGCATTCACGTGTCAGTAAATTCCACTTTGTCTGGTGTGAAACAACTTACATTTGTTCACACTAGCCCCAAGTCTTGGAATGACTGAGGTGAACATCTTGGATAATTCTTTCTCATTTAGCTCTATCCCAACAACAAGCCTTCTACAGCCACCCTCTGATCCTCCTTTGGGAAGTGGCATGTGGGGATTTGTTGGTTCAACTTGGAGGAGTCACATCTCACACCCATTTCAATTCTCATTCATTTTGGTGTTTTTCTACTTGTATGTCTGCAGGGTCCAGCCTTCTACTCTTCTTTTGAGACATGGAGTGATTGGTTTCCCATGCCATATCTTCTCCTTCCCTCACTGCATGGGAGGTTCTCTTTCTTTTGAGTCTTGGGCTTCCATAGAATCCCATAGATGTTTCTAGATGACTTCTAGTTAACTCTGCAATTATCTCCTTTATCAATCACCAGGGGGATACTACATCTCGCTCTCCTGTTTCAACATTATTGATCTCCTTTTCTGGGCCCATTCTTAACAAGTACGTCTAAGAAATTGTTCTATTCTGAGTGCCCTGAGTTGTGGATCATCTCTTAAGACCCACCAAGATAATACCTACGATCATTCCTTCGTTCCTCTGATGTTCAAGTGGCTGTGCTCTCATCTGGACACTCTTCTTCTCAATGTGTTTGCCATTGTTCTCAACACCCTATTTCTTCTCTTCTGGTCCCCTGTTTTTCTTCCCACAGATTTAGCTGGGGATGCATTCTGTCAGGACTGGTCCAACTATTCTTTTCTCCATGCCTACCCTACTACTCGTGTTTTCCTTCATTCTGGACACTCCATGTTGAGTCCTCCTGATAACTCCATACTGGCCAGCTCAGCCATGATTTCCTTTATTGCACCTTCTCCTGATCTCTCCTCCTTTCCTTCAACTTCTGTCACTCTCCCTACTCCTTCAATCTCACTCCTCCATCTCCCACCCAACAGTGTCGTCACTCTGACTTTCCTTCTTATT